TTGAGTTCTTTCTGCTTGAACAAATACTGCAAGCTTCGATGATTAGTGAATACCTCACATGGCATGCCGTAATGATAGTGCCTCCAAATCATCAGCGCGTGAACAATGGCTGCCATCTCTAGATCATGAACATAGTAATTCTTCTCGTGAACCTTCAGCTACCGTGAAACATATGCAATAACCTTGCCACCCTGCATTAATACCGCACCCACACTAATACGAGATGTATCACAATATACTGTATAAGATCCTGAACCTGTGGGTAACACCAATACCGGTGTTGTAGTCAAAGATGTCTTGAGCTTCTGAAAGCTCACTTCACACTCGTCTGACCACCTGAACGGGGCATCCTTTTGGGTCAATCTGGTCAACGGGGCTGCTATGGATGAACCCTCCCCCCCCACAAATCGACGGTAATAGCCCGCCAAACCCAGGAAACTACGGATCTCTGTAGCTCATGTGGGTCTAGGCCAGTTCTGGACTGCCTCAATCTTCTTAGAATCCACCTGAATACCCTCTGCTGATACAACGTGACCCAAGAAAGCAACTGAACTCAACCAAAACTCGCATTTTGAGAACTTAGCATATAACTGGCTGTCTTTCAGAGTCTGAAGAACGATCCGAAGGTGCTGCTCATGCTCCTCTCGACTGTGGGAGTAGATCAAGATATCATCAATAAACACAACCACAAAGGAATCCAAGTAGGGTTTGAACACCCGGTTCATCAAATCCATGAATGCTGCTGGGGCATTTGTCAGCCCAAATGACATCACTAGAAACTCATAATGCCCATACCGAGTCCGAAAAGCTGTCTTAGGAACATCGGATGCCCTAATCCTCAACTGGTGGTAGCCAGATCTCAAATCAATCTTTGAAAATACCTTGGCACCATGAAGCTGATCAAATAAATTATCAATCCTCGGCAATGGATATTTGTTCTTGATAGTGACTTTGTTCAATTGCCGATAATCTATACACATCCTCATCGATCCATCTTTCTTCTTCACAAACAACACGGGTGCACCCCAGGGCGAGACACTAGGTCTAATGAAGCCCTTATCAAGCAAATCTTGCAACTGCTCCTTCAATTCTTTCAACTCTGGCAAGACCATGCGATATGGCGGAATGGAAATAGACTGAGTGCCCGGAGCCAAATCAATGCAGTAATCAATATCCCTATCGGGTGGTATCCCCGGCAGGTCTGTAGGAAATACCTCTGAAAACTCACGAACAACCGGCACCGAATCTATGGAAGGAACTTCCGCACTAGAATCGCGGACATAAGCCAAATAAGCTAGACACCCCTTCTCGATTATATGCCGAGCCTTCACATAAGAGATAACCCTACTGGCAGAATGGCCAAGATTCCCTCTCCACTCTGTGAACGCCGACGAATCTACCTTGAGTCTCCGGACAGCGGACCAATAGCGAAATCTCAATCAACCTGAGCCGGTATCAAAGTCTGCATAGAAAATGCAAAGTGCAGCATCAGTACAACCGACCCCATGTACTAGTAAGTGTCGAGCCTAACCTCGGCGAAGTAGTGGCGAGGCTAGGACAAGACACCCACATATAACCTAAACAGTATAATCATGCTAGTGGAAATAACAGTAAATAAAAAAATAATGCAGAAATAATGGGAAAGGGAACATACAGTGGGGGAATACAACACAAAGAGTGAGAATAATGAAAAGACAGAATTAAACCGAAAATCCTTAAACAAATTGAGCAATTAAAACAGCAAGAAAAACTGCACTGCATCACCCTTCGTGCTTTTACTCTCAACCTCACCAAATAAATAAATAGAATGGCACGGCATCACCCTTCATGCATTTACTCTCAACCTCACCAAATAAATAAATAAAACGGCACGACATTACCCTTCGTGCATTAAACCTCTCATAATATACACGGTATCACCCTTCGTGCTTTAAACCTCTCATAATATACACGGCATCACCCTTCGTGCTTTATACTATTCCTCACAATATAAATAATGCATGCACGGCATCACCCTTCGTGCTTTATACTCCTCCTCACCAATCACAGAATTAATAACAACGGATAGATAAGAGTATCACAAAGAAACCAGTATTTTACCCATAATCAATAGCACAATGTAATTTCAACCTTGAATCAATATTCGAAAGTTACCAAATCTCAGTGAAACCAGATATGAGTCACCCAACATTTCAATTAACCCGATAAGCATGGATATTAGAATTTAAGGCCACAAAATAGATAAGAATAGAATTTCACTCGCATGCTATGACTTGACAACGACGCATAGATGCTCGTCACCTCACCTATACATCGTATTTAACAACCAAACACGTAGCAAATAAACACATAATACCTATTCTCTCAAGCCAAAGTTAGACACGACACTTACCTCGCTCCGAAGGCCACTTAATTCTCAATCACAACTTTTCCTTTGGAATTCACCTCCAAAACACTCGTATCTATTCAAAAATGACTCAATAATATCAAACATTGCTAAAGGAATCAAGTTTAATGAATAATTACAGATTTTCCAAATTGTTCCTCCAAAAAGTCAAAAATCGACCCCTGGCCCGCTTGGTCAAAACCCGAGGTTCGGACTAAAATGCACTTACCCACTCACCCCCTAGCCCGAATATATAATTAGTTTTGAAATCTGACCTCAAATTGAGGTCTAAATCCTCAAATTTCCAAAATCCCTAGTTTCCACTCTAACCCCTAATTCTACAATGAAAACTCTAGATTTTTGGTTGAATTCTTGTAAATTGAAGTAAAAGATTGAAAGAAACGAGTTAAGAAACACTTACCTATGATTTGGGGAAGAAAATGTCTTTGAAAAATCACCCTAGACCTCCTATCCTTTTGAAACGAGAAGAAAAATGGCTAGAGTCCGAATTAAATGAACTCACTGCCCAGCGACTTTCGCACCTGCGGTGCTTTGGTTGCACCTGCGCATCCGCACGTGCAGACAGGACGTGCGCTTCTGCGGAAAAGGACTGGGCCAACTGGGGCCGCACCTGCGGACAGGGTTCTGCTTCTGCGGTCCCGCTCCTGTGGAGGGAAGCCCGCATCTGCGGAAAAATGAAGTCCAGGCCTGGGTCGCACCTGCGACCAAAGGCTCGCAGGTGCGGGCACACCAGATTTGGTGCACCAGCAGCCTTGTTGAGGTTTGAACTCAACTCGCGCATCGCCCGAATGGCACCCGAGCCCTCGGAGCTCCAAACCAAACATTCACGCAAGTCTAAAAACATCATACGGACTTGCTCGCGCGATCAAATCGCCAAAATAACACCTAGAACTACGAATTTAGCATCAAATCAAATGAAATACTCAAGAGCACTTTAAAATTTCTATTTTCTCAACTGGACATCCGAATCACGTCAAATCAACTCTGTTTCTCACCAAATTTCACAAACAGGTCTTAAATATCATAACGAACCTGTACCGGGCTCCGGAACTAAAATACGGATCCGATACTAACAATGCCAAGTATCAATCAATTCTTAAAAATAAATAATTTTCAGACTTTTAATTTTCATCAAATATTCATAACTCAAGTTAGGGACCTCCGAATTCAATTCCGGGCATACGCCCAGGTCCCATAATTCTATACGGACCTACCGGAATCGTTAAAGCACGGATTCGGACCCGTTTATCAAAAATATTGATCGAAGTCAACTAAGATCAACTTTTAAGGCAAAAATTCTTATTTTCATTAGTTTTCAACATAAAAACTTTCCGGAAACATGCCCGGACTGCGCACGTAAATCGAGAAGGGTAAAAATAAGATTTTTAAGGTTTAAGAGTGTAGATTCGAATTCTAAAACATAAGATGTCCCTTTGGGTCATCACAAAATGGGGTTGGAGTGCCAAAATGGAACAAGGCTGGGATAGGGTGCCAAAATGAAAATTGATGCCAAATTAGAGGGGATGTCCATGTATTTGACCTTAATATTATGTGTTTCTGTAAGAATGAGGTTTAAAATGTTAATTTGATTTAAATAGTATTAATGTATTAGTGATTGATGATATTGAAAGTTGTTAAAGTTTACATACCAATGAAGTTGTGTCACCAACGAGTGTTGTGGTGGAGTGGTAAGTACTCCTNCGGCGCGAATCCGAATTTAGTCGGTCCCCAATGTGGGTACCGAACATCGGATAAAAAATTAAAAAAAAAAAATTGTGTCAAACGTTTTGGAACATCAATTGTCATATTAATTTGAAAAAAATGGAGTACTATAAACAGAGCTGCAGGAAAAAAATGATTGTAGTTTTCTTTTCTCTGTCTTTTTATTTTGCTTTAAGCATCTAGTATTCAAAATATTCAAAATCTAGGGATTCAACTTATTTGATTCACACGGGAAAGTCTCTTAATTGGTCATTTAGGTTACAAGATAAGGGATAATAATCTCGTAATAAAATGTGTTATTATTTTACCTCGTATTTGGTTGAATTTCTTTTATTCCGAATCAGTAATTTAGAAATTGTTTATATCACAATTTTAGTATTAATTTTTTTACCATACTCTATGAGAGATAATACCCAATAATGAAACAACACATTTGAGCTTCTCCAAAACTCTTCTCCCAAGGTCTTTTAAAAAGTCAAGGTGAAAATTATAAATAAATAAAAAGTGTATCCACTAAAAAAAATTATCATTATTTAATATTCGCACTATAATCCCATACGATAGAAGTTTTCTACCAAAAGGTTCTTCATTCCTAAGATAGCTTAAGACATTTAATTGAAGGTAGATTCTTACCTCTAAATGAAAGAATTTTTTTTAACCCTTAATTAGATATTTCGAGTTCAAAAGTTTAGGAATGATTTATGCTCAAGAACTAAACAACTGTGCTTGAGACATAAAGTACATTTCTTTTATGAAGAACTAAATTATGCTCGAGGCAAAATTGTGATTAGGAAACAGATTCTCGAGAACCAAAAGCCAGTATGGCAAATTGGCAATAGACAATGCTAAGGTGAGGTTGCAAGTGAAAAACTTGTATGAGTAGTGGTATCTTTTCCATAACATAAAAGGAGAATTCAGTGGTGCAGTTCCTATAGAACACACCACAAAAGTTAAATATCAATACTGATCCTGTTGTAATTTCTAGAGAAGAAAGAAAGAAACATGGAACTATTGACATTCAAGAACTTACATATAGTTACACAAAACATAAGAATAATTATAGCTAGAAACCATCAGTCATCTGAATCTCTGAAGTCACAAACTGAGCAGCAATATCGAACCATTGACTTAGGCTCAGTTTCCATTCGGCATGATTGGTGAATGTTGACTGTACATTACTACCAACGACCTCAAACAGCCCGGTCATTTTTCTGAATGCATGTGTGGACATTCTTACTCAAGATAGATCCCTCTGACTGGTGTAACCAAAGGTAATCTAACTAGAAATCATACTTCGTCCTGCCACTTCGTAGGATTAGACATAACATATCAGGAATATCTAAAAATGACGATGACTTTAAGAAACTCCAAGACTCCAGCATAAGTCTCTTTCTTGATCCCTTAAAATGCACTACCTGTGGCCAAAAATGAAATTGAAAGTTCAGAATGAAACCAGGCATCCTTTGATAATCTCATTTAATGAAGTATGCTGTTCATCACATGACTGGAAGGTTACCAACTCTTGATTCTTTTCAGATTTTCAATAGCTGTAAACAGCATCTTTTCCCTTAAAGAGGTCCAGGTGGAAGTGATTAAGGAGTCTGACTATACTTTAGCAACAATAAAACTGCAAGAGATCTACTACATATATCAAGTAATGGAGAATCAGACTTCTGAAATTCTAACATGGAGAATACACTTGGACATTTTGTTTCAGTTATATGTATGTTTAGTTGATAACCATCTACACATTTATATGTCAATAAATTACAACTACTTAAATAGAAATTCAAGAGTCATTTCGGAAACTCTCACTATAAATTTACCAATTTATATTCCTTAAACCCAAAACAAGCTTAAACCAAAACTGTACCTTAACATCCAAGGGCATCCCATGAAATTGACCGGCGCCCTCTGGTGGTGTCCAGTTGTAAATGGAACACGGCAAGAATAGCACTGAAGCGCCACTAATTTGGTCCGTAAATGCTTGTTTTCTGGTAAACCTTCGAACATCAAAGGAAGAGTGAGATTTTACAACCCAGGCAAGAGCTAATTGATCCCCGAGCATTCTGGAAGCTTTCATGAACTTTGTCGTGTAGACTTTTAGTACTTCTTCCAAGAAGAACTTTGCTCTGTACAGTTAAGGAGTTATAATGGCTTTAGGAAGAGGAGTAAACAAAAGCAATTCCAAGTTCTGCCGTTAAATTAATAAAAGAAACTAAGTACGTCCTGACTAAGAAAACAGACAATACTAAAATCCCAGGTTTTCAAAATTTCAAACATATGAACCAAGAAACATCTGTTAATCTACCGGATTCCTACTAGACAGTCCTCCTAAATAAATATCAGAACTACAGATTATAACACCTACAAGCTTAGAATTCACAAAGGAGCGCCCTTCGCTGCTATGCATGATCTAAAATTATCAAGCACACAAACCAAGCACCATTATAAGATACAGAGGGCTCCTATTAGCACCCTCCCCATAAATTCAGGGAGAATAGAATATAAAACAACAAACCTTAGAATTCCCTCAGGAGTGCCCCTCACTGCTATAAATCCCGAATTCAGAGGTTGCTCTTTGTTGTTACGGAATGTTAGAGCCACATGAAAATCAGGGTGATCATTAAATATCTGCCCCAAGTCATCAACCACTGCTATATCCGAGTCAGTAAAGATGTAATGATTCACTTGCCCCTTCCATTTTGAATGCTCCATAGCTCGTGTTTCTAGAAAGACCTGGATTGGGAAACTATAAGCAAAAAAGAATACCATGCATGATACAAAAGTCAAATCATCTAAAATTTCCTAAGGGAATTAGACTCGACAAATTGACAGAAATAGAGAAATGATAGTATATTTTGCAATACATTTACCAAGTAAGATAATATCTGGACATCAACATTTAAATACAAAAGACAATATTTTTAACTATATTCATTTACGATATCTTTACATCCCATTGTCATAGGCAATCACTCAACACTTTCTGGAAACACTCAGACACTAAACTGTAGTGACCAAAACTGGAAACAAACACAAAAAAATGTTATGGCACGACAAGAAAGCATCAAATTTACAATTCTGCATTAACTCTGCAATGAGAGCTCCACTAAAGAAATACAACAAAATATTCATGGATGATACAACAGTACAAGGACATGATGATTTTCTCAGATAACAACAAATGTTCATGGATGATTCAACTGTACAAGGAAGAAAAGGCCTACGTGCATTGGAAAATGCAAATATACATGTTGCCAATTAGCTTATCTCAGTGTGGAAAGGTGATTTTCCCAAGTTACAAGAAATAATCTGAAGCACGCCTAGCATGCTGAAAAAATAGTGGGAATTGGGGAAGTTATGAAGCCAAAATCAACATAAAAAGAAAAATACCCTTCATAATAATGAACTGTGCTCTTACAATGTAAGACCTGATTCTTTGTAGCATCAACATTTCTCGTGAATAATCACCTTGAATGGGTAGAATGGTCAGTCTATCTCTCTCCACTGGAAGTTTAGATGATGGATTAGTAAGGATGACGATGTTGCTCCGAGGCATGGTCTCCTGCATGAATCAAATCCAAGTCAAATAAATTGCAACTGAAATCAACTTCTAGATAATACCTTTGGTAACAGTTTGTAAATTTTTGCTGGCAATGAGATTTTATCACAGGTACTCTAATTTAGGAGTATGACAGGCACTCCGGAAATAAAATAAGAAAGTGAAATGGCAATATTTCCAGAAGGAATATCAAGCTTATCATGAGAAGATCAAAATATAAAATTTTTAAAAAAAAAAGAAGAGACAAAGCAAACTGTCACATATGTTTGTTTGCCTCCACCAAGTAAGTGATAAAAGCTCACTCCAATGAGTTTGAACTAAAGGCTATTGAAGAATGCAGTTCTAATAACTTTTCATGTTTCTTAACAACCTTCTCATGTCCCATTAGTGTTTTTTTAATGTTTTATCATGGATGTTTTTACCCTACACCTAGCCAAACACCACTAAGAAGGATGTAAGAGGCCTTACAAGTAACCTTTGCCATTATTCTTCCCGATTATTTCAAAGTGCGATCGGGAGAAAACAACAACCTTTTTTGTGGATAAAGTAGGAAGGAAACAATAACATTTCTAGGAGAAGTTTTCTAAAAATTATTTCTGCTGATTTTTTGTCCGATTATCCATTACATATCAGCAATGTGGAGCTTATGACATCAAAGTGTACTTGAGAATCTCAACAAGTACACATTATTGATCTATGTTGTCTTGCACATGGATTTACCTGAATGAAATTAATGAAGACATTCAAGATGGCGATCGACCTCTCCACCTTGTTGTAGGAAGCGTTCCCAAGTGTAACCAAATCTGGTGATTTACCACTAGCCTGCTGATCAACAGCAGTATTATACGTAGCAAAGACAGTGACAATGGAAATATTGCCTCCAGCCTTCAAATCTTTAGAAGATGCTCCAAAATGTGTCTTGCTGAGAGCTTTGTTGCCTATCATTTAGATTAATAAAGCTTATGCATGAATATACACATAAATTAGATGGTAGACAAACTAGTAAGAAGCTAGATTTTGTGCGCATTTATGCACCTAAAATCCAGAGATGCACTTCAAGAAAGCCAATAGTAAAACACTGCAATTTGAGGGAGGCTGTTGTGAGCTAGAAATGATTATAAAAAAAATATGCATGTATAGCAAATTAAACCACTAACTAGAGCTTCTTGCTAATTGTTTATTTTTTAATGACGGTTGTGTCTGGCTAGCTTATGTGCACCTCGACTATTCCACCAGGTACCTTCTACCTCCCACCAGCACAAGTATCTACCGAGTAACTCTGCCCACCAAAACTTAGGCAGATGAGAAGAAATTGCCTTAGTGTTTTTGCCTCTACTGTGATTTGAACCTGAAACCCCATGGTTCTCCTCCCACTTCATTAACCACTAGACTACACCCTCGAGTACACTTCTCCTAAATTATTTTAGCAACTTAACTGGCACAACAGGAAACCAGAGGTGCACAAGCACAACGTTCTACAAAATATTAAATATCCTAGGAGCACGTGTGGATCTAGCTTGTAACCTATGGTTCATGTGAACCCAGTAGTTTTATTATTGTACAATAACTTGAGCCGTTATAGGAACCCATAAATTTCTAACTTCAATTCTGGATCCGCCTCTCATAGGAGGAAACAACAAAGATAGTTAATTCGAATAACAAACATTAAAGAAAAAAAGATGTAAACCTTGGCATTGTAGTCGATCAGGCAACCCTTGGCCAGCAGCAGGTCCTAAAACCAGATGATCAGATTTCTTGTATTGTTTCCTTTGTGGAACTCCTGCAGCTGAGTGCTGCCGTAGTTCTAAAACTGGAAAGAAAAAAAAAGACAATTTTACCATTCATTCTTTTTTTTAAAGAACTAGATTAAGAATATTGAAAAAGGGAATTAACTAACTCAGTATTAACCTGAGAGCATGTGAGCTAAAACAAAAAACAACGGCAAACATAATAGGAACGGGCGCCACCCACTGCACACTCTCTTTCCTAGCATTTCGTGAGGAGTTCGCCGGAAAATGGATTACGGTGTAATTAGAAACTCGATTTCGCCGGAGCAAGAGAATAGTTATGTCTGATTTGAAATTGGGGAGTAATCAATCGGATCCGGGCTCCAAATTTGGAATCCGGTAGAACCGATTGAGCTTTGGCTAGATCTTTTAATCTAATAAATGTTTCTTTATTTTTTTCTTTCTTATTTTGCCAAAAATATTTCAGTTTGTTTGGTTTATTTAATCTTAATTGTTTCTAGTTATTTAGAACTTGATAATTAAATATTTTTATTAAAATAAGAAAATAGTAATTCTCTATAGATGTTCTTACATGACTCTCGAGGACGATAAAAACAAGAGAAATAGTTGGCATATATTGTTGAAAAGTTAATCCAAAGTTGTAGTACGAAACCTTAATTGTTTAGTATTTGATATTTGTTAGTTTATTTAATTCATGTTTAAATAAGATTTGTAGTCAGAATTATATAGGAATAGGTTTTCATGTTTCTAGCTGAAATAAGTTTCGTACTATCCATATATACTATATAAAAAGCACGAAAACCCTTAGCGAAATGTCATTCGCCTTTTATATCCTTTAAAAATAGATTTCACATTAGACAAAATTGTAATTTGAGTTGTTTTCCTAATATTTAGGAATTCATAATTAATAAAATTTTATGTATTAAATTTTTTCTTATTTGAACTACTTTAGAAGTCCTAAAATCTAGATTTTAAAAATAAAATAGGATGTTACCTCATATAAAATTTTCTTGTTTGTACTGTCCAGCATAATTGTAATTCATTCCATAATTGTTCGTTATTTGACCCTTTAATTATTATTTAAATATATCCGACCTATTCTTGAAGTTCCAAAACCATACAAATTCTAAATCAAAAGAAACATTGGACGTTCTTGCTTCTGTATAAAGGATTTCATTGGCCTATTCCCATTCTCATCTTTTTTCTTCTTAATTTTTGACAAAACTTCCAAATACTTTTTGTATATCATTCTATTATATACTTTTATTTTATTTGTGTAGATTTGTATTTGTAACGACTCGACCGGTCATTTTGAGTATTATAACCTTGTTCCCCTATATACTGCTCAAGTTAAGCTTTACAGTTATTTTATGACGTACCGGGTTAGTTGGTTCGGGTCCGAAAAGATTTCGGAGTGAAATGCGACACGTAGTCTCTTAATTGAAAACTTAAGTTGGAAAAGTTGACCGGATATTGACTTATGTGTAAACGACCTCGGAATTGAATTATGATGATTCCAATGGCTTTGTATGGTGATTTTGGAATTAGGAGCGTGTCCGAAAAAATTATTTGGAGGTCCGTAGTGAAATTAGGCTTGAAATGGCGAAAGTCGAATTTTTGGGAAGTTTGACCGGGGATTGACTTTTTAATATCGGGGTCGGAATCCAATTCTAAAAATTAAAATATCTCTGTTATGTCATTAATAACTTGTGTGTAAAATTTTAGGTCAATCGGACGTGATTTGATAGGTTTCGGCGTTGTTTGTAAAAATTTGAAATTTTAAAGTTCATTAGGCTTGAATTGGGGTATGATTCGTGGTTTTAGCATTGTTTGAGGTGATTTGAGGGTTCGACTAAGTTCGTATGATGTTTTGGGACTTGATGGTATGTTTGGTTGAGGTCCCGGGATAGTTTCAGATCATTTTTCCTTGTTTTGCAACTGCTGGAACTGGTGTCTGGTATTGTTCTTCGTGAATGCGAAGGGTCTCACGCATTCGCGAAGAAGGATTTTGGGCTGCAGGGATTTACCCATCACGAACGCGTGAAGGAAACGCGAACGCGAAGAAGAGACTGGGGAAGCCTACGCGAACGCGAGTGGGCGGACGCGAATGCAAAGAGGAAAGGGGGCTGGCGCCTGCCTGGCGTTAAGCCTTCGCTAACGCGGCTCGTGCCTCGCGAACGCGAAGGGCAGAGGTAGGAAGGCATCGCGAACACGATAAAGAGGTAGCGAACTCGATGAAGAGGTCGTGAACGTGATGAAGAGGTCGCGAACGCGAAGAAGGAACCTTTGCAGCACATTTTTTGTGCTTCGCGAACGCGAAGCTATGGTCGCGAAAGCGATGAAGGCATTTCTGGGCAGAATTAAAAGTTTCAAAACGGGGATTTTGAGTTCATAACACAAAATCAAATTGAGAGTTCGATAGAAGGCGATTTTTGGAGAGATTCTTGCATGGGTATTTGGAGTAAGTGATTCTTATCCAGTTTTGATTAATTTCTATGATTATACCTTTGAATCCATCATTTAATGAGTGAATTAAGTTGAAAAATTTAGAAAAGCCGTTTGGTTTAATTTGAAGATTTGAGGGTCGAGTTGAGGTTGGATTTTGGTAAAATTGGTATGATTAGACTCGTGGTTGAATGAGCTTTCGGATTTTGTAACTTTTGTCGGGTTCCGAGATGTGGGACCCATTGGCGATATTTGAGCTAAATTTCGGATTTTGTTGGAAAATTAGTATTTTCTTATAAAATTAATTCTAATAAATTTTATTGACTGAATCGAATTATTTGTGGCTAGATTCGAGGCGTTTGGAGGCCAATCCACGAGGCAAACACATTGTAGAATAAATAATTACACGGCTTGAGATAAGTAACAGTTTTAAATTTGATCCTGAGGGTATGAAATCCCGGATTATGTATTATGTGATTGGTTTTGAGGTGACGCACATGCTAGGTGATGGGCGTGTGGGCGTGCACCGTAGGAATTGTGACTTGGTCAAATTCCATGGAACGATGTAGCTGAATTATCTGTTGATATCCGTACATTCTCTATGTGTTAGGAAAAATTGAGCTGAGACTCGCATTAAAAATCATGCTTAGACATATGTTGTTATTATTGGTAATCACTGGGGTCATTTCTGTGGTTGAATTATATGTTCAATTGTAATTTCACACTTAGTCATGTTTATACATTTCATATCATATCTCAGTCTTTGTTGCTATTTATTAAAACATCATATTATCAATTTTGGGCTGATTATCATGATTTCTGAGAGCCCGAAAGACTGGAGAGGTTGATAACTAAGTGAGGCCGAGGGCCTAATTGTGAGGATATTTATGGATCGGGCTGTACGCCGCAGCATGTTTTATTGATTTATGCCATGATTGGCTTGATATAGCGCTTGGGCTGAAGGAGCCCCTCCGGAGTCTGTACACACCCCCAGTGAGCGCATGTACCTACCGAGTGCCGAGTGCCGAGTTATGAGTGACTGTGAAGAATAAGCAACTGTGAGGAAAGAGTGACTGTGAGGTTGGAGTGAATGGGAGGACTGAGTGACGGTTACTCTGAGAGGATGTATTGATTGCGTTATTTGCTGTATTTCAGCTGTCATATATCGCTATTTTCTGTGTCAATCAAATTTTATATGAAATTTCTGTGAAATTTTAAATGTTGAACTTTAAAGCATGCCTACCCTTTTATATTGAAAAGTACTGTATTTGGACTTAGCTGAGAAGCTCGTCACTACTTTCAGTTCCTTATTTATTATTGTTACTTAATGAGTTGACTGTACTCATACTACACCCTGCACTTCGTGTGTAGATCCAGGTGATCCCAGACACAGTGGGTGTTGATTCTTTCACACAGTTGATTTTTTCGAAGATTCAGAGGTAGCTGCTATGTTTCAAAGACCTTGTTTCTCCTTCCATATCCTTTTGTTTATTGTATTTGGTCTCGGATTATTATAGACCGGGTTTTCCAGACTTGTAATGTATAGATGCTCATGTACTCAGTGACACCGAGTTTTGGGAGTGCGTTTATTTCTAATGTTTGTGGGATTTATCCTTAAACTTAATTATTTTGTTTTCAGTATTTAAAATAAATTGTGGGTTATTGATGTTATCGGCTTGCCTAGTGCCGAGATAGGCGCCATCACGACGGGTAAGATTCTAGGCCGTGACAAGTTGGTATCAGAGCCTAGGTTACATAGGTCTCACGAGTCATGAACAGGTTTAGTAGAGTGTTGCGGATCGGTACGAAGACGTCTGTACTTATCTTCAAGAGGCTGCCGAACCCTTAGGAAAATTTCAATTTCTTGTACTCTGTCGTGCGAATTTGTTGATTTTGGAAACTAAATTTCTATTATTCTATTCTCTCACAGATGGTGAGAACACGCACTACCGGATTAGACGGTCAGCCACCAGTGCCACCAGTTAGGGCCATGAGAGGCCGGGGCCGTGGTAGAGGTCGAGGCATGGTAGAGGCCGGGACTGAGGTAGAGGTCGAGGTGTCGTTCGCACAACAGTTGAAGCAGCATTTGTAGTACCACCAGTTGCTCCAGCTCAGGAGCAGATTCCAGATATAGCTCAGCCGACAGGACCAGCTCAGGCACCAGCTGTGCCCATTGAGATTCAAGGCCTTCAGGAGACTTTGGCCCAGATATTGATAGTTTGCACTGGCCTTGCTCAGGTGGTTTCGGCTCAGGCTGCACTTGCCACTTCTCAAGTCGGGGGATCCCTGTTGCCCGTACTCCAGATCAAATAGTGCAGGGACTTCAGATACCGGGGCAATACCAGCCCAGTCAGTTGCAGTTGCTCAAGCCCCGGTAGTCCTCGTTATGGCAGATGATGAGTAGAGGAGACTTGAGAGATTTGGGAGGCTTCGACCTCTATCATTTAGCGGTGCTGAGTCAGAGGATGCTTAGGGATTTCTGGATAAGTGCCAGCAGATGATGTGGACAACTGGTATTTTGGAGACCAGTGGGGTCTCGTTCACTACATTTCAGTTTTCTAGGGCTACCTTCAGATGGTGGGAGGCTTATGATAGGCGCAGGCCGGTTGGTGCAATACCACTTACATGGCAGGAGTTCTCCGTTATCTTTTTGGAGAAGTTCGTGTCGCAGTCTCGCAGAGAGGAGCTGCGCAGATAGTTTGAGCAGTTACGTCAGGATGGTATGTCTGTGATGCAGTACGAGATAAGATTTTCTGAGTTGGCTCATCATGTAGTTTGGTTGGTCCCTACTGATAGGGAGAGGATTAAGAGGTTCATTGATAGCCTCACATATCAGCTACGGTTACTTATGACTCGGGAGAGAGTATCTGGGGCTACTTTTGATAAGGGAGTTGGCATTGCTCGGCAGATAGAGATGGTCCGTAGTTAGGAACGTAGAGTGAGGGAGGCCA